TAACTGTGGCAGAAAATGAGGGGTGTGCGGATGGTGGCGATAATTATAAGGGAGTTCAAGTTCTCAGCATTGTCAAAAAGGATGAGTCTGAGGAAATTGTTGATTCTATTAATCCTGTGACAGTTGCGGGGTATAGAGAGGAGAAGGGCGCCTCTGGTTCTACTTCTGCAGTTACTGCGGTGCGAGCACCTGGCTCCCGCTCATCTTGTTTCCATGGTGTGACCAGGTAAGATTGGTCTTTTGTTCCTATAATTAGTATTTGGTCAGTGGAAACAGAACAATGTGTTTCACTATATTAACTAAAAAATCATAGGTGGCGCTGCTTACCAAACTTAATCAATCGTGCAGGCATAGGTGGAGTGGGAAATATGAAGCTCATTTGTGGGACAGTACTTGCAGAGTAGAAGGACGGAGAAGGAAAGGGAAGCAAGGTATGCCTCTTTTTATTGGAGCTTCTAGGGGGCAGTTATATACATTGTATCTGTGTGCCACGACCTATTCTTGAAGGACACACTCGTGATAGTTGGCGGTTTATGCTTATAGCCTCGTTGTCGGCGGTCCATTGTAGAATGTGGCTAGGTCTAGGGCAGCATGCACGCAAGAGAGAGCCACAGCCCACGCGTAGGCATAGAAACACTAGAGATAAATAGGTAGATAACTCTTTACTTTCCCCATTGATGGAGACCTTGCTATATGGAGCACAAAGAAAATTAATGATGTACAATTCGGCTAATAGTTAAACAAATGCTAGGACAGAGTAGGACGTATAGTTTGATTAGCTCCGGAAGTATCATAAATACTAGTAGGCAATATATAGTTCAAAGGGAAAAATAATGGAAGATTGTGTCTCACGTGTTTATTTTTTCCGTTAAAAGAAAATGCCAGTTTACTGGCGGTTCCTTTGTGACGTTATCTTTTTCCCCTGTAGTTTCTGTGTTAGCAAGGCAGCACTGTGTCGTTTCTGCATGTCACAACATTTTCTATTTGTCCAAGTTTATAATTTGTATCATCATGCCTTTCTGCGTCATCTGATTCACTGCACTTGGTAGTTAGTAGTGCTGGTGTTACATTCTTGGGCTGCATTAATGCTATCTTCTATTTAACCAATCTTTAGCAAAAGAGTACCGACTCAACATAGGTCTCGTGCAACTTCAAACTCCACTCTTAATTGTTTCCCTTAATAGAAATATACAAAGAGACATAGCTTTCAAAGGAATTGTATCCGTGCGTAGGTTTTCTTGTTTTGGTTTAAGTGAAGACTATCCGTGCGTAGGTTTTCTTGTTTTGGTTTAAGTGAAGATTATATTTGGAATGCATTTAGTGGGGTGTGAGATCCTATCACACTGCGCCATGCAGAGGCACCTATTGAATTTGACTATCTTCTATCCGACATGAGGATAGTATATTATGCATTGTGCTTTTTATTTAGAATCAGGAACTTATATTGATAAGTTAGCAAGGTTACATTCTTGCTGAGTACATGGTGCTAAGAAAGCTGGGGCCTGGGATGCCTAGACACAAACCATAGTAGAATGCGAAGAAAAATTATCAGTCAGATGCGCTACCAAGTTGGCTTCTCGCTTTACAAAGATAATATCAAAATCACTAAACACCATAGTGAGCTCCTGAATTTGCATGAGGACAGGAAGAATCATGTCCTGTTTGTCAACCTGGACTTACCATAAGTTTACCGTAAGAATTTGCATTATGCATTATGGCTTTAGGAGTGCTTATTTGCTAACATATAATTCAGGAGTTTTGTGTTCCATAAGGCGATACTTTTAAAACTCAAACCGAACAATTAACCGGTCAAATGGCCAGTTCACTGATTTACTGGTCGAAGATCAGTTTAATGGTTGAATCATCATCAACAACAACAACAAAGCCTTTAGTCCCAAACAAGTTGGGGTAGGCTAGAAGTGAAACCCATAAGATCTCGCGACCAACTCATGGCTCTGGCACATGGATAGCAAGTTTCCACGCACCCCTGTCCATAGCTAGTTCTTTGGTGACATTTGCCACCACACCCGGGTTCTGATGTGGCGCGTCGCTGAGAGGGTTACGCCCCAACTAAAATCTTTTGGGTTTCATCTCCATAAGAATGGCTGAGTTTTTATGTTGGCTCGCCAAGCCTATCACAACCCTCCTCCTTTACCCGGGCTTGGGACAGGCTATGTTGAGACAACATAGGCAGAGTTAATGGTTGAACCATCAGGTCTAAGAAATTTATTTAGCATCTTTTTTTAGTTATGAAGCAATTGTTAAAAATGTCAACTAGTAATAGTTGTAACAAGATGATATACAAACTATCTTGCCTCTTACATCCTGTCCAGGATTGTAGGTAGGTTGGCAGTGTATCTCCCTTTTGACCATGAGGTGGGGGGTTTGATACCAACTTCGTGAACTAACTAAAATCAGTTCACTATTTTTCTCTTTATATGATCCACTCCTGTGATCTTAACTGGTTCTGGCACTACCATACTACCCTGTCCCTCCTGTTTTGGCTCTTAGAGGCTGTTTGGATCCCGCACGCGCCCGCCCTGCCAATAGCTGGCACGCCAATATATTGGCGAGGGAATCCGCCGCTAGCGTTTTGCCCACTCGTGGGCGTAAAAACTGAACTGCCAGACAATATTTTGGCATGGCTTCAAAATTTTGGCGTCCAACCAAGTGGCCGCCTGCCCTAGCAGTCAACACAATTTTTTTCGTGCGGCTATGATCCAAACAGCCCCTTAAATCTATGTCTTGGACGTTATCTCTTAGCAATTATCACATACTAGCTTTTCTTGAATTGTTCCAAAATTAGGCATAACATTTAATTGTCATGAGTTTTAATGTATATCATGTTATTAACCTTTTCTTGTAGCTTTGTTATTTCCTGTTTCTTTAATATATATACTGTTATATTCAATATATATTCTGGTTGGTTACTGATGGTTTCTTGTAATGGTGTTCCAATACGGCGGTGCTTCAGTTTATTTAGGTAAGCATTATTTATTTCAGTCCTGACATCATGTCTTTCATTATTCTCAAGGAAAAAAGCGATAGGCATTAATTGTGTGTTTTGCCATCGCCTAAGCACATGCCTAGCATGATTAAGCGCTAGGCGTTCTGTTGTGGCCTAGGGCCTAAGGATCTGATTGATTTCTCTCCAAATTTTCTACCACGCAGGAAGTTATGATACTGAGCAAAAAGCTGCCAGGGCATATGATGTTGCAGCTCTTAAATTCTTTGGACTAAATACAAAGCTGAACTTTTCGGTATGTTTTTTCTTTCTCGTTTTTGCTTCCACCTATATAGTTACGGACAAGTGGATCTCATGAGTCAATACTATTCCAGATTTCGGAATATGAGAAGGAACTGGCGGACATACAAGACATGTCTCCAGAGGAATGTGTGACATACTTGAGAAGGTATGTCAAGGGCATATTAATTCAGACTCTTCAGATCAGTGTTCCAGTGAGATGATGACTTTTATAACAAGTCGATTTGTCCTGCAGGAGGAGTAGCTGCTTCTCAAGAGGGGCGTCTATTTACAGAGGAGTTACAAGGTGGCCTCTCCTGTTCATTTTGTTCAGCTTGTTCAAATGGCTAGCTTTTCTTCTTCAAACTAGCTCAAAACTCACATGTAACCATGTCCTACAGGAGGCAGAAAGATGGTCGATGGCAGGCACGCATAGGACTGATTGCTGGAACTAGAGACATTTACCTTGGAACTTTCAGTACGATGCACATCCCTAATTCTGCCCCCCTTGAACTCTCATCAATAGTTACCCATTTTTTAACTGAAAGACAGCATCCCATTTCAATTTCCTGATGTTTTGTTTTCGTGTTTGAACTAGAAACTGAGGAAGAAGCCGCAGAAGCTTATGATATTGCTGCCATCGAGATACGCGGCAAAAACGCGGTGACCAACTTTGACAGAAGCAACTACATGGACAGGGGCATGCATTGTATAGAAGGCGCAGGGTTGAAGCTGCTTGCAACCAAGCCAGAATAGTACCTGATTTGGTATCGTATATTGAACAGATTTGGTTGGCCGTATTTTGGAGCCTAGTGGTACATACAGATAGAAGAACTGGTTGCAGCCTGTCATTATCTGCTGCTGTATGATTCGTCAGATTATATATAGTTCTTTCAGAGAGAATTTCAGTAATTTAGCATGCTTTGTGTCCAGAACAAGATTTTGACCATGCATTACTGTTATAGTGTTTGTAGGCTAGAGTTGCAGTGGAAGATGTTGCTTCATTTCACATGTCTAAAACGGAGAATACATTTTACTTCTAAGTTTTGATGCTTGGTTTAATGAAATATTCAAGTGTATATTCCCATGAGGCAGCTTCTTAAATCCATTTGGCTTCATCTTTTTATCATTCACCAGTGTCGTAACATATGTGCAGCCTGTCATTATCTGCTGCTGTATGGTTCTTCAGGTTATATATAGTTCTTTCAAAGAGGATTTCAGTAATTTAGCATGCTTTGTCTCCAGAACAAGATTTTGACCATCTATTACTGTTGTAGTGTTTGAAGCTAGAGTTGCAGTGGAAGATGTTGCTTCATTTCACATGTCTAAAACGGAGAATACAATACTTCTAAGTGTATATTCCCATGAGCCAGCTTCTTAAATCCAGTTGCCTTCATTTTCTCGTTCATTTGCCAGTACTGCAACACATGTTGCTTGGAGAAATATTCTGACTGCCAGAATGCTATTGATGCATACACAAATTTCAGTCATCCATGAGAAAGTCATAACCATCCAAAGCCAGAACCTATTTACAAGATTTCATAATTGTTCAGCTATGTAATATATCAAATCTAAATACGATCCTCTAGAATTCTCCCCTTGACCTGGTCTGACCAATTCCTACATTAAAGGCACTGAAGGAGAAATCACACAAAATGCAGGGCTAAATATAGTATATAAGCTAAAAAGAACTAGCAGCACATCAGGTGAACATACATTGTGTCACCTGACGCCTGAACAGAAGAGCTTTCCAGAATCAGTAATTCGGGTGGAAGAATGGATTCACATCCCTCGCTTCCAGTTCTCGTTCAGCCCTGGCTCTCCTTTCCACCTCTACCTCCTCCAAAATTGAGCGCCTCGCGTTTGTAGTCTTAAACTGTGAGTGAAAATTAGGTAGTGCCAAAGATTAATCCGCATGAACATATTGTACTGTCGCATCAAACAAGAAAAAAGATGCTAAACGCGAAATTGAGAACATCTCTGGTGTGAACAAGGATGTTAATTGTAAAAGAAAAGGAGACTAAGGTGGGGCACTTATTTCCACTTAGTTTATATTCTATAAAATTCTGCATCCGCCCCTGAAGACATGATACTCCAACAAAAACACATGTAGAAACTGCATTACCTCCCTAAATCAGGTCACTTGCGACCTTTGGAAGTTGTATTCTCTAGACCATACTAATAAATGGTTACTGGAAATAGACAAAGGGAGGGGTATGCAAGGGAAAACTTAGTGTAGAAGTTATGTCACAATGGAATATGTATTTTATGAACAAATAACAAATTTTGAATGTTCAGTTGTTCACTATACTCAGGATGGACAGAGTACATCTTCTAAGCAAAGGGATAAAACACTTGCCGCAAGTTTAGTGTTAACCGTTGAACTTAACAAGCCAACTTACTAGGTCGAGTGGACCACATTCTAAACCCATGACAAGCCTATAAAACATTAACCTACCAATGGTCACTTTTCTGTAAAGAGTAGCTTACAGTATTGACAAAAACAATCTATTGTTTAGATGTGACATAGGTCATTTTGATAGTCATTCTATGATCCAAATCTGAAGGTTCATAGGATAACCATGACATCTAGTGAATCAGATAACCATGTGACATCTAATATGCAGCAGTATAGAACCCTCGACACTTAATGCTAAAATTCCATAATCAGTAATCACATTATCATGCATTACAAAAGTCAACTTTAATCGCTGAGGAAGTATCACTGGTGACGCTTCTTACTGCACAAAGAACTGCTGGCCACTTGCCACCATATTCGCAAACGAGTACTGTAAAATTTACATAAGATAGACCATACCTTGTTAACGAGAGTCTCAAATGCTTTTGATCCATTTTGTTCAATGTATTTCTGTGCAGCTGAAATTACATCGTCAGGTTTATCTGAACCTTCCTTTTTTGGAAGATACCAGATGTTTACAACTTGCTGGTTCACAATCATTGGCCGCACAAAATGCTCATAAACATGCGCAGCACCGTTGAAGTAGGGCAAGACCAACCAGCAATTGAAAAACAGCTTTCCATAAGACCAGAAAGGGAGCCTGCAAAGCGCAAACATTAGTCTGTAGTAACTAGTAAGCATATCCATCCATCTCATGATGTACTTAACATAAATCTATTCCCAGCCATGAGGATAGTAGCAAATCACAAATTATAGTATTATACTACCAAAGCAGAGAAGGTATGGGGAAAGAAATTTATTTAAAGAAATCGCAGGTCATAAGGTTCCCAGGTGATCATTACAGTAAGACACACACTCTACTAATCCCACTATATTAGACAGTATCATAGTAACAAGGAAGTACTGAAGGATTTACAAAAAAGAAAAGTCCAATGAGATAGGGAACTGCCTTTTACCATTCAATTACTGCAGCAAAAGTGAGCTCAAACAGAGTGATAAACGAGTACAGCACCCAGTAAGTGAGCCATTGCTGATCATCTATAGGAGATTTTGTTTCTATTGCTCGAACAGACGCATACCTGCAAACGTGTCAATCAGAGTCTTAAATAAAAAAGGAAAAAAAAAGAAACAATTGTGGCAAAATGGAAGGACAAGGATAAGTTTGTATCTGCTTGACGAGAAAACATTTACTTACAGAGGATAAGCGAGTGAAACTATGGGCCTGCAAGAAAAAGAAAAATACCTCATCAGTACTAATACAGGATGAGAACTGTTCTAAAATCCACAAGTTGACTGCATTAACTGCTTCCCCAATTTACAGCACCCAAGTAACTAGTAAGTGCAACTTAACTAATGGAAATAACGCTAACTGCAGCTAAAATGTTCTTGCATTTGCTAATCATAATCTAACCATATACTGAGATGGCATATATGACATAGCCATGTCACGAATGTCCCAAATATAAATATGTGTTATCTTGATTATTATGGTCGTATAATGTGGGGGTATCCCAGTCTTACGGAACATCATCAGAGGGCACTGGTACGTTATGCAAAAGATGTAAAACCATAAACTCTAAATAGCAAGCCCTACTGGTAAAAATGCTAGGAATTTTTTTTATCGAAAGCACTAACTGTATGTTGATCCTTCCGTGGAACCATACACAATGACATGTCTTGCGAAAGAAGCTGAGGAACGAATCTACATAATCGACCCGCAAAAAAAAAATCTACATAATCTAAGCCGGAAGACAGGTCACATATGATGAAGTCCTAAGCCAGAAGTACTTCATTACATCAATGTTCTGTAGGTCCTTTCAGAGCTTCCTTAGCAGCCCTGATAAATCAGTCCTCTGAATTCTATTGGTAGTACGTCGTAATGTCTGACGAACCAAAAATCCTGAACCCTGCCATGAATTTATCTGCCTGAATCCAACCACACATGCAAAATTTCCCCACCACATACACTAACAATCGAAGTTCCTACCGCAAACCACTGAACATTTGAAGATTTGAGGCGAGACTGTGAGCGACACTACAGCCCGTAGCCCACAAACCAGCGCACAAAACGACCACCCCGACCCGAGCGAAACAGCGCCGCCCGGCACGCCATTGCTACCAAGAACACGAAGCTAATCCGTCCAACGAGAGGAACAGGGAGCAGATCAGGGAGAGAGGCGGTACCGACCCGGCGAGGACGTCGAGGTTGCTGACGAGCACCTTGAGGAAAGATCCGGACCCCATTTGCGCAGCAATCCGCTCCCCGAAAGCTGCGAATCTGAGGCGGCAGTAAATCGCAGGGGATTGCTGATTTATTTCCGCCGCCCGGGGTTGGGTTGGGTTGGTTTGGAAGGAGGCCACCTACCTTTTCTTGGGTTCCTCTGGTTTCTTCACCCTTTCCTTCCGCCGCCCCACGCTTTCTTGTTGCCTTGTGTGTTTCTTTTGCTTCGTGGACCTGACGGCCGTGCTTCCGGTGAGCAGCGGGCGGCACGCGTGGACCCAGATCTCGTTGAGCGTCCGCGGGGAACTTTTTTTCTGCTTTTTTTTCAGAAATAGTTTTTTTTAGGGGTTTCAGAAATACTAGTTTTCTTTCTGCTTTTTTTTGAGAGATAGTTTTCTTTTCTGCTATAAAGCACGCGCTGGAGCTGGGTCCGGCCCGTGTGGGACGAGCCCACGAGAGAAAAGAGGCTGGGACGTGATACCGCAAATGCTAGAAATCGCCCACTGCGAGATGAAACAATATCTCGCCCCAAAGCGGAAGTCTATTTCGGAAACCTTCCATCCAGTTTTGGAAAGGCTCCGAGCATATTCTTTCTTTTTCCTTTTTTGTGTGTTACTTTCTGGATTATTATTAGGGCATGTACAATGATGCTATCTTAGGAGTGTCATGTAGAATAAATGATGAGGTGGAGGAGAGAGAACTCATAAGAAAAGTCTTGTCTTCTCTTATTTAAGATAAGACAAGAGATGATCTCTTAACAAAATATGTTTCACCGCATTTTTAGGAATTGCTAGTTATTGAAGATAAGACTAAGAGATGACCCATTGTAAACATTTTTCTTTGTCATCTCTAAATTACATGCAAAACTTAAGATAAGACTATCTTATCAACCATTGTACATGCCTTTAGAACCGTAATATTTGACACATGTGTGCCATATAGCTAAAACTATCACACAACTTCTTCCTTCCTTTTAATTACATGCATGATTGCATTAGGATGAATCACACTCATTTCACGTGCATTCTTCCTCTAATTACATGCATGCATTAGAGGACAAAAAAGTTGAAGTCACTTATTCTGAAAATTTAAAATGTTTTGTAGCTCAAACCAGCGGTCTAATACAAAAACCGTTTTCACAAAAAAGATTCTTCACGACGAGATCTTCGAAACTAGATCCCATGTTGGTATGTTCCGACGACTTTTTCCGTGTCAGAAGTTACCGCGCCTCTGCTACATAAGTTACCACGCATGTGGTATGCAACTTACCGTGCTATTTTCAGATAAATTACCAAGGTATGTTTTTCAACATCTTTTTTCTCTTCTTGGTCAAAGTTACTGCGGTGTTTATATGTAAGCTATCGGGTATGCGCTCTTACCGTGATATTTTTCATATAAGTTCTTGGGGGTATGTTTTTCAACAATTTTTTCTGTTGTTGGTCAAAATTACCGTGGTGTTTGTACATAAGCTATCGGGTATGCATTTAGTATATTATCGTGCTATTTTCGTAAAAAGTTGCCTGGGGTATGTTTTTCAACAAAAAATTCCCTCGATAATAATTACCGCGGCGTTTGTACGTAAGTTATCGGGTGTGCGGTTCATATATCACCATGCTATTTTCACATAAGTTATCGGGGGTATATTTTTCAACAACTTTTCTTCCCTTGGTCATACCGCGATGTTTGTACGTAAGTTATTGAGTATGTGGTTCTTATATTACCATGTATTTTCACAAAAGTTACCGAGGGTATGTTTTTCAACAACTTTTTTGCTTTGGTCAAAGTTATCGTGGTGTTTATATGAAAGTTATCAGATCTGCGGTTTGTAGATTGTTGTGCTATTTTTCACATAAGCTACCGGAGGGTATATTTTTTAATAAATTTTTTTTCAACCCGCAAAAGTTACCGCGATGTTTGTACATAAGTTATCGGGTCTATGGTTCGTTATTAACATCTTTTTTCACATAAATTATCCGGGTATATTTTTCAATAACTCTTTTCTCCTTGGTCAAATTTACCGCAATGTTTCTATATAAGTTATCGAGTATGTGGTGTGTATTGCCATGTTATTTTCACAGAAGTTACTAGGGGTAAGTTTTTCAAGAACTTCTTTCCCTTGCCAAAGTTATCGCGGTGTTTGTACCTAGGTTATCGGATCTGCGATGTGCATGTTACCATCCTATTTACACAGAAGTTATCGGGATTATATTTTTCAACCAATTATTTTCTCCCGCTAAAGTTACACTTTGTTTGTACCTCGGGTTTGCGGTTCGTATTTACCGTATTATTTTCACATAAGTTATCAGGGGTACTTTCTTCAACATTATTTTTCCCTTTGTCAAAGTTATCGTGGTGTTTGTACCTAAGTTATTGGATATGCGGTCCATATATGTAGCGACCAGATCTCAAACGGTCCAATCTTTGTGCTCCGGTGTTATTTCTAGATCAGTAATGCTGACACCGCACAGTACTTGAAGGATTTATAACAGAGTAGCAATCACACAATTATTACATCGAGTGTCTCAAAAGAGAACTTATTACAATAAATATGACTTAGGGCCATCTAATAATGATAACAGCGGAAGGCTTGGAAGATAAGTGAGTCCATCAACTCCAACGGCATCACTGAGTATAGAACCATGACCTAAAAGCACCTTACTCGTCATCTGAAAAGTCTGCAACATGAACGTTGCAGCCCGAAAATGGGTCAGCACATGGAATATGCTGGCAATGTAACACATATAGAGCAATGAAAGAATAAGGCTATACTATATGCATATTTGGCTGGTAGAAAGCTTTATGGTTACAGTTGTTGGGAAACGTAGTAATTTCAAAAAAAATCCTACGCACACGCAAGATCATGGTGATGCATAGCAACGAGAGGGGGAGAGTGTGATCTACGTACCCTTGTAGATCGACAACGGAAGCGTTAACTTGGTTGATGTAGTCGTACGTCTCCACGGCCCGACCGATCAAGCACCGAAACTACGGCACCTTCGAGTTCTAGCACACGTTCAGCTCGATGACGATCCCCGGACTCCGATCCAGCAAAGTGTCGGGGAAGAGTTCCGTCAGCACAATGGCGTGGTGACGATCTTGATGTACTACTGTCGCAGGGCTTCGCCTAAGCACCGCTACAATATGACCGAGGTGGAATATGGTGGAGGGGGGCACCGCACACGGCTAAGGAACGATCACGAAGATCAACTTGTGTGTCTATGGGGTGCCCCTTGCCTCAGTATATAAAGGATGGAGGAGGAGGAGGCCGGCCAAGGCTTGGTGCGGCCAGGATGTGGAGTCCTACTAGGACTCCAAGTCCTAGTAGGAGTCCACCAAGAGGAGAGGAAGGGAGAAGGAAGTGGAGGAGAAGGAAAGGTGGCCGGCCCCCCCTTTCCCTAGTCCAATTCGGACCAGAGGGGAGGGGGGCGCAGCAACCCCTTGGCCCTTTCTCCTCTTCCCACTAAAGCTCATCAAGGCCCATTGCTTCTCCCGTAACTACCCGGTACTCCGAAAAATACCCGAATCACTCGGAACCTTTCTGATGTCCGAATATAGTCGTCCAATATATCGATCTTTACGTCTCGACCATTTCGAGACTCCTTGTCATGTCCCTGATCTCATCCGGGACTCCGAACTCCTTCGGTACATCAAAACTCATAAACTCATAATATAACTGTCATCGAAACCTTAAGCGTGTGGACCCTATGGGTTCGAGAACAATGTAGACATGACCGAGACACGTCTCCGGTCAATAACCAATAGCGGTACCTGGATGCCCATATTGGCTCCTACATATTCTACGAAGATCTTTATCGGTCAGATCGCATAACAACATACGTTGTTCCCTTTGTCATCGGTATGTTACTTGCCCGGGATTCGATCGTCGGTATCCAATACCTAGTTCAATCTCGTTACCGGCAAGTCTCTTTACTCGTTCTGTAATACATCATCCCGCAACTAACTCATTAGTTGCAATGCTTGCAAGGCTTAAGTGATGTGCATTACCGAGAGGGCCCAGAGATACCTCTCCGACAATCAGAGTGACAAATCATAATCTCGAAATACGCCAACCCAACATTTACCTTTGGAGACACCTGTAGCGCTCCTTTATAATCACCCATTTATGTTGTGACGTTTGGTAGCACACAAAGTGTTCCTCCGGCAAACGGGAGTTGCATAATCTCATAGTCATAGGAACATGTATAAGTCATGAAGAAAGCAATAGCAACATACTAAACAATCGGGTGCTAAGCTAATGGAATGGGTCATGTCAATCAGATCATTCACCTAATGATGTGATCCCGTTAATCAAATAACAACTCTTTGTCTATGGTTAGGAAACATAACCATCTTTGATTAACGAGCTAGTCAAGTAGAGGCATACTAGTGACACTCTGTTTGTCTATGTATTCACACATGTATCATGTTTCCGGTTAATACAATTATATCATGAATAATAAACATTTATCATGAAATAAGGAAATAAATAATAACTTTATTATTGCCTCTAGGGCATATTTCCTTCAGTCTCCCACTTGCACTAGAGTCAATAATCTAGATCACATCACCATGTGATTAACTTCGATAGTTCATATCATCATGTGATTAACACCCATAGTTCACATCGCCATGTGACCAATACCCAAAGGGTTTACTAGATTCAGTAATCTAGTTCACATTGCTATGTGATTAACACCCAAAGAGTACTAAGGTGTGATCATGTTTTGCTTGTGAGAGAATCTTAGTCAACGGGTCTGCCACATTCAGATCCGCATGTATTTTGCAAATTTTTATGTCAACAATGCTCTGCTTGGAGCTACTCTAGCTAATTGCTACCACTTTCAATATGTATCTAGACCGAGACTTAGAGTCTTCTAGATCAGTGTCAAAAACTTGCATCGACGTAACCCTTTACGATGAACCTTTTTTTTCACGTCCATAATCGAGAAACATATCCTTATTTCACTAAGGATAATTCTGACCGCTGTCCAGTGATCTACTCCTAGATCACTATTGTACTCCC